AGGGCGGCCGTTGTCGCCGCTGCGGCCGCTTTTCGGGGTGAGAGGAGCTGGTGGTAGCCGCCTGCCCTTCGTAAAGAAGGCGAGACTTTTACCGTCCTTTCAGCCCTTCTCGGTGCTACCTCCCATACTGCGTGTTTTTGAGTTGGAGAGACCGGTAGGGTTCAGAAGGCTGAATTGTTACTCAGGACGTGGGTGTGTGCCGTGCTTAGTGACACAATCATGTTTTGTACTCTGTATTGTTTCTAGTTAATGCCTAAAGTTTCTCTTTGGTTTTTGGACCACTTGCTGAGCTGATACTTTCATAGGATGATGTTTGAGCAGTCAGTTCAGGGCCTATCACTACAGGTGTAGCTGTGGTTGCTTTTTTTGCCCTGTGCAGTGTTTTACCTCTGTGTACCTGAAATTTTCCTTGCTGTTTCATTACCTGGTGTTATAACGTTGCCCCATAGTTCTTCATGTTCAGTGAAACCCTTATCTTTACAACAGCCAGACTGAACAGAGTACCATCGCCAAACTTCCGCCCTCTCGTCTGCGCCGTTCTCCAGACGGTTTATGGATACGTTGAGCAGCGCAAGCACGGATCCTGGCAGGATTTCCCCCGGTATTCTTCTTCCGCTGTGACACCTAACATTTATTTCTCCTCTCTAATTTCCTAGCTTTAATCAGTATTTCCATACAAGAACCTCCCATTTTAGTCACGTTTTCCAGCTCTTTTCAGTGTTAACATAACTGCCTGCCTGCTGAAAATCCAAGCATGATGTATCAAGACAATTTCCTGTGTTCACCCGCTCCAATTAAAAAACTCCGACGTGAGGCATGATTTCGCTTTGCGAAGAACTGTGTCAACTCTCCTCCCATGTATCTACTTAAATTGTTCCTTGAAATAATTTCCACTAATTTGCCTGGTATGGGAATCAGATTCGGTAGTAGATCCCTACGTGTTTTTTTGAAGCCATTTTATAAATGGCATCAGTTCAGCTACCCTGTATTTTTGTACTGATCAAGCTCTAAATGATACAACTTATTGATACTTGACTTTAAGGAATAATGCAGGATTAATTCAGTTTTTATTTCCCTTCAGAACAGTTAGGTAAATACTCTGCCCCGTGTACCTGTCACTGCTTGCTCAGCTTCCAGTTTTAGAAGTTAGTTTTTTGTCACCGGCACTGCAGATATGTCAGCTGGGGAAGATGCATCTTTCAAGTCGCTACCATAGGAGCCTCTCAAACTTCTCAAAATGGTGATTACAGATGTAAAACAAAACAAAACAAAACAAAACACACATACACACACAAAAAAAAACCCCAAACACATGACTTACTGGCCAAATCTTTTAAATGTTTAAATCACAACAGGTAGCAATAGAGCACGATAGTCAAAACGTGAAACAGTGCATTTTTATTGCTCTTGTATATTGTTTCTTACCAAGAGCATTTTGATTCTGCTGTTAGGTGCTGCAACAGCAGCAGTGGAGTGCTTCACATGGCTGTCACTTTGAATTGTCTAATCAATGACACTTTGAGTGTATTATCCTAAAATAACTCATGCATGTATTGCATTTGACTCATCTCCCAACTGAGCTGCATGGTACTGCAGTTACTGGTCATCGCATTTAGGTGTACATATTTTTATCCAAAGCATTTTAACAATGTCATTATATCCAGTCTCTTCAGATATTTAAATTATAAACAAAAGCAAACTTTGCTTTATTTGCTATCATCAGTATAAAATCTCAAATTCACAGAAGTGTATTTTTAAGTGGTTTTAATATAGGGATGTGCACACATGAAGCATGTGTCTAAATGCTTCAGAGTCTAAGAACATTAGTGGACATCCTTCAGTGAATCTAGCTAAATTAATGTAGGAAGATAGTGCCCCTTGGCTGCCTGTTTTACTATTCTCCGAGAAGTTTCCACTCTGTGGGCAGTTGGCCAACTGGATCGCTGGAGTACCCATCAGGCACTACAACCTGAGATTAAAATGCTGAGTGAGGAAGACTCACATTTCATTTTGCTTACTCTGTGATAGGACAATAACAGCAAAACAGCTAGGGATTGTAATATCTTAAGGTGTTGCGGGTGATGGAACATGTGGCTTCAGCCTTACTGACCATTTTAACCCTTGGATGCTAAAGGTATGGCTGCTATCATTAAGAATACTATTTTTTTTGCAAGGAGATAGTATCTGAGTATTTCAACCTTATGTACTTCAACATTAGCCTAGGATTTCTGGATGTCCTGCAGCCTGCTTAGAGTAGTTGAAGTATTCCTGTTCAAGCTGCTTGGCACCCTTGAATTCCAGGTATGTTCACTAAGTACATAGAGACTACTCACTTGGCATATCTTTGGTGCAGAGGCACAAAGTGTCCAGATTACCTTGGGTCTGTAGTAGACCAATGGTCCAGTGCATATGCTGTGGAGGTCAAACACAGTGAGTGTATTGGACATGGTTTGCCAATATTATCTCTTGGACAATAGACCTAACATGCTCAGGACACACTGGCCTCAGTGCCTGTGGTCTTAGGCTATCATCCCAGTGCCTCTGAAAAATGCATACCTCCCAAAAGGTTGAAGTGACAATCAAAAGGTATGTGACAACATGAATATGCTAAAATGCTTGTTTGGAGACCCCTGTCTATAGTTTCCTGTTTTGAATTTTTAGCTTTTTAACAATAAGACACAATATATTTTCCTTAGGTGAATACCACACTTAAATGACATAAATATTACGTAGGTTACATATGCAGGGATCATTGCAGGTTTTATTTTATTATCGCTTTGCTGCTTTAGCACAAATATGAGAAGAGTGCTAGAGGACCTAGTCTGGCAATAATGGTCCCACAGTAAAACTGGCAAAAGATTAACTGTGAGAAATAAACATATTAAACATTCCCAGCATATTAAGAGCAATAAAACACCCTTTTAACAACACTATCAACTTCTCTAATATCTAAATATACCTTTTCACCAGCTGATCGCTCACTCTATGAATTTCCCGCAGGAGGTGGGCATCTGTGTAGAGCTGATGGGTGCAGATACCACAGCAGACTTGAATTGTGGTCCTGTTCAGCCCTGGTATCACAAGCATTTTGTGCTTTACCTACCTGTTGTTAAGAAATTCATAGACAGACAGCCTCTCTGTCCCCAGTGCTTAGAACAGACTATAATAAGGCAGTTGCCAGACTGCTTTTTCTCACGAGCACTGAATACACTTAGAGACTCTTCCAGCTTTTCCTGTTCCCCTCTGATCTGTGTATTCCCATAGATGGATCTGGCTTGCCTTCTCTACCTCACACACTGGTGCTTGCTTTTATGCATGGCAAATTGATGGCTGAAAGTTGCAGGCAGCAGAACATCTAGTTTAGCCCAGAGGGTCACTGGGTTAAAAAAAGTTGTTAATCAAATTCGTACAAGGAACATCTATCTGGAGCTATTAGTCATAAAGAGACAGTTCTGCCTTAGGAAGTCCTTGAGCAAATTACCGGATGCTCAGAGAGTGCGTTCAGGAAGAATCACTGTATGCTTGCCCTGTTCATTTCCTAAGAATCTGCCATTGGCTGCTCTCAGAGACAGTAATAATGGCCTGTACAGTCCTTTGGTCTGAATTGATACAGTGATTTTTGTGTTACATATATGTTAAAGCAAAGGCATGTATTATTGCTGAATTGCCATACTTTGTATGGGGAAAAAGGCATGGTCAAGACAAACTGCACAAAGGTATGGCATGTGTGCTGTTTTCATTAAGGTTATCAATATCAAGCAAAGACTAACACATTACTGACGCTGCCATGTAGATTTTGTAAATGTGATTGTACTGCCCCTAGTTTTGTAATATTTCAGTTAAAAGTACAACTTTTCTGGATAATATTAATGTTATGAAACATACATTCTTTTCATTCACTGCTTCCTATTTTATTCCTTTCTACCTGCCTTATTTGTGTGTATTTGCTATTGCACAATTATTCTCTACATGGAAACACTAAGGTTAACTCT